GAAAAGAAGAAAAAAAAAAACACAAAAAGATATAAGTCATCCTCCAATATCGTTAGAGAGACCTGAAAAGGTGAGTAGAAAGAAAACGTCCGACGCTGTCGAATAATGACGGTACCGTTTTCTCGCTCGCTTCGAAGTTCTTTTTCACTTTCTTTCTTTTTTCTTACACGTTTCATCTCAACAGAAAATTTTGAACTGTGAACCGACGTTATTGCGTTTAAGTACGACGCATTCCGCATAAGCGCATCCTTTCTTGAAGGTTCATTGAACGACTAAACGAGAGGACCCATGCTGGTGTACTACATGCGTATGAAATTATTTGATCCGGACTTCGTTCTGAAGTACATTCGGTAATATCATCCTTATACACAAAGTAGGGACACGAAGACGCGCGGTTTGTGTTGTCGGCCAACGGAATGAATGGTAACCGCGCACCTTCGCTCTCTTGAGGAGACGATGCGTTTATCCCTGGATAAACGGACGATTTTACATTCGATTTACCCACGCATACGGTTAACATCATCGTTTTTTAATTCTTATGGTATATGCGAGAGCGATCGTGCGCGCAGTAAAAAAGCGGGGGAAGAGGACGAGGAAAGGAGGAGATTGATTTTGTTATTGGGGGAGGGAGCAGGTGAAAACAAACGAACGCAATAATGCACTTCGATCGACGTCGAGCATCAGAGCATACATACATATACATACATATATATATATATATATATTATATATAATATACACACACACACACATATATACATACATACATATGTGTGTGTGTGTATTATACATATATATATATATATATATATACATATATATGTATATACACATATGTGCATATGTTTCGCTATCCGTAAAATGTTATAGGACACACTGTTAATTCGTTCTCACTCACTGGAACCGATGAAAGCGAAGGGGGATCGTCCCGACGGACTGAGGGCGTGCTACAATTCATTTTATCATTTTATTACTATGGGTGACATACGTACGCCCCGTCAGTCGGCGTCCACTTAACACGGTCTCGACATCGTCCACGTAATTCTTTTTCTTTTTTTTCTATTTCTGTTTGGCCAGGCATGCACAAGTGTAAAGACAGCATTTTTTTTGTTATTCTTCTTGATACGCGAAGAAGGCAAAGAAAAGTGCCTCTCTAAATGCATTTTGTTTGCAGTCTCTCTCTATTTACCGCAAGGTGCGTGTCCTTTGCTTGGTTACTTTCTGCGTGCTCCGTAATTTAATGCGTGTTATTATCGAATGATTTTTTCTTTGTTTGGTTTTTTGGAATAAACGTACGTGCGTGTTTTTTTAGGGTCACGCAATCGCTTAAGATCTCCCCTTCCCACCCCGAACTGCCACCTGCCGAGTTGTTTTCTTTTGCTTACGAGTTAATAAAAGTTTTTTTGTTTTCGTTCTGTGTTTCAGTTTTATATACGCAATATAACACTCACTACAGTTAGAGTTACGATACGTCCTGATCTTCCACTTCTTGCAACTGCTCCTTTTGTTCACCCTCCCCTATAAAAAAGAAAGAAACACGTAAATTTGTTAATCAACGTCTCGCTAACTATTTCTATTGTGCATACGATGAAACGAAGTGGTTTGATTTCAAACGAATAACCTCGATACAGGAACTAACCTATTGTATAAGATTTAGGAACTACCTTATAACGTAAGGGATTCGTATTGTAAGGAACGAGGATGGTTTGCTCACCAGGTGACTGAAAAAGGGTATAGGTCGGTGTTCAAGCATTGGTGGAAATGGCCTGGTTCTCACGGTCAGCCTCAAACTCTAAATTACGAAGCAGTGATTCTTTGCTCGGAAGCATACACTATTTAAAAGTACCATTTTACAAAATAAAATTTCGGTAGGTTAGGCGTAGCTAGATACAAGCAGCTACATACGCAATGAATCAATCTGACACACGATAAACAAGATTTTATCGTGCTGCTGGAATGTACATTATTAATCGTTGCACGGTCTCACTTCAACGGTCGCGATGGAAGTGTTTCAAAGGATGATAAAAGAAAAACGTTCAACTGATTTTTAGAGCATACTAACCATCTCCTTGCATATCTGACGTCCACAGAGTCAAATTGTCCCTGAGGAGTTGCATGATGAGGGTTGAATCCTTGTAACTATCCTCGGATAAGGTATCTAATTCCGCGATCGCGTCGTCAAAGGCTGCCTTCGCCAAGCGGCACGCTCTGTCCGGACAATTCAATATCTCATAATAGAACACGGAGAAGTTTAGCGCCAATCCTAAACGAATAGGATGAGTCGGTGGTAAGTCCGTCATCGCAGTGTCGCTGGCCGCTTTGTAAGCTACCAGAGAATTCTCTGCTGCTTCCTTCCTATCGTTTCCAATAGCGAACTCGGCCAGGTAACGGTGGTAGTCACCCTTCCTGCAATTACATTCAATTCTATCGAATCCGCTCATACTTTTCAAATGTACACACACTTGCATGTACTATCGTTGTGCAATTTCTTTCATATCACACTTTCATTTACCGGAGCAAATCAAATCCATTGAAACAGTGATTTCAGTAAAGCTAAATATGTTTCTTACAATAGGTTTCATTAGCTAGCAAAACGATTTACAAAGATAATAGGTTTCTACTCGATTCCTGCTTTCATAAATTGCTCCTTAAGAACAGGAATTTGCATAAACATCAGCGATTTGGCTACGATACAGCCCGCATAGTCTCCCTCAGCTAAACAAGCATTAATATTCATCGGAATATCAAATTTAACGAGTTGCTGACATGTAGATAGTATTCAATCTATATATAATTCAATAAAAATTAACGTTCATGGATTTCTACTGTCACGGGCTTTCTTCGTTAGATTCAATCACTCTGAGAACTTAAAGTTCTAAGTAGTACTTCTATTAGTAACTACTTGCGAATTATCTTTAACTCCGTAATTATCGAACGAAACAGCGGGAAGTTTTAAAAACCAATACCTCAAAAATCAGTGACCGAAACGAAACACTCTTCCGCACTGGTTGCCTTTTAATCAACACGAACACGCCATCGAGGTAAGGCCGAGCTTAATATTCGCAAGTTTACATCTTCATCATTTCCTGACGAAGTCTACATATACTTTTCCAAATGAAATTACTATCCAACTATAGAGTTTTCAAGAAACATAACATGATTTATCGTCGGATGTTGTGCAAAATCCACATTATTGGATTTCCACTTGACAAACTGCCATCCAACCTTATTGAACTTATATCAGTAAGTCCCTAACTTTGCAATAATAAATAAATCTCAGAAATTGCACGCTAACGTTCAAACGCTTCTTACATTTTATAATAGAAGACTTTCGATTCGCCAGTAGACGCACACGGAATCAGATGTTTATCCAGGACACCGAGGATGTCGGCACAGATGTCTTTGAGTTCTTTCTCTACCTGGGACCGGTACTGGCGAATCATCTCGAGCTTGCCCTCGGCGCCCTTGTTCTCCTCCTTTTGTTCGATGCTGGAGATTATTCTCCAGGAGGCTCTCCTCGCCCCGATTACGTTTTTGTAGGCGACAGAAAGAAGGTTCCTTTCCTCAACGGTCAACTCCAGGTCCAGCGAAGCGACCTTCTTCATCGCCTCAACCATCTCTGTAAATCACATCGACGGACATCGCCGTCGACAACAGTGCCATTAAAGTGAAAACACCACTAAACATGAGAATACGTTAAACAATACAAGTTTCGTCTAACATCAGATACGTTTGCCGCTAAAAAATATATTAAGCATTTTATTTATGAATAAACCTTTAAACAGTGTCCCAACTTAGTGTCCCAATCTCTAAGGACCCTGTACGCTAAACGACAACATTGTCATTCAATGATCAACGCAAACCACTGTTCAACATTCTTATTTTTCTGTTATGAAACTTACCGAAGAATGTTATATGAAATCATGGCAAAGTAATGAATTGGAAATGACTTATCGATTATTAATACGTAAGCTACCCCGCATGGATATATTATTAGTTTCATCTGGGGATGGCGGAGAGTGCCTCGCCGCGAGAAAGACAAGCACACAAGCATGTATTAACCCGATGCCCCTTGAACTTTCTGACCAACTTGCTTGCTATTATGTATTTAGTATCTATAGGTGAGAGGCATTCGAAAATAATGATATCGATCAAGATATACACGTGCTTCGATTCGTCTTTATCTT